GTACAATTCCCAATGAGAAATGTAATTGTGTTGTATACCTACAATGTACCAATAAAAGAATTTAATACAAAAAAATAAAAAATAAAAAATAAAGTTTGACTCCCACTGTTAATCTTTTACACATCACAGCTTGATGAAATAACCATAGACTGAATGCATCTAGTTCCCAGATGAAGAAACAAACATTTCCAACACCCAAGAAGCCCTCTTCCACCCCTCTCGTCTCTCGACTAACCCTAAGGGCAACTGCTACCCTGACACCACAGATTCACTGTATAGTCCAGAGGGTTTTTTTTTGGTACCAGGAATTGAACTTAGGGCCTCGAGCTTGTCAGGCAGGCACTGTGCTGCTGAGCTACATCCCTGGCCAGTCCAGGATTTTTGGTGGCAGGCTTTTTTTTGCTTGGCATGTTTGAGTTTCACTTGGTTTTAGAAGATGATACTCTTACTTAGATGTTTGGCTCCAAACTAATGGATCAGCACCTGTTCCTCTCAGTCTGTGATCTCTGAATAAAGCAGACCTGAGGGCTACCTGCTAGACCTGCTGTTAGAACCGGAGGCCCTTCCTGTACTGCACACTGGCTTTGTATCCTGGGCAGAGGGGAAGCTGTGAGACATGGCACTAACACTATATGGTGCTCATAGGAGCCAGGGGAGAGGTCCACCTCTCATACAGGGTCCCTCTGGTGGGACTAAAGCCCTCTCTCACTAATGCAGTTTGTCAGATCACAGATTCCCAAACCCCTTCCTTCCTTCACTCCCTCCCTCCCTCCTGCCTTCCTTTTCTTTTTTTTCTAGTGCTGGGGATCAATGCAGAGGCCTGCGTGTATGCTAGGCAAGTGCTCTACCACTAGCCTATACCCTAGCCATGCTGATTCCCAAACTCTTCAGTCTGATCATGTTTCATGGCTGTTTGCTTGCTGTGGAGCTCAGGGCTGGTTTGCAGTCCATCTCCATAACCACCGAGGGCCTCAGGATGTGCCTCAGTCATTGGGCTCATCCCTGCATGGCTTTCTTGCTGTGCCTCTCCCAGATTTATTATAACTGACAAATACATTGGATATATTTACAGTGCACAATGTGATATTTTTTTTGCTACCGGGGAATGAACTCAGGACCTTGCCCTTGCGAGGCAGGTGGCTGCACCACTGAGCTAAATCCCCAGCCCCGTGATATTCTGATATATGTATTTGTTGCAGTATGATTAAATCAAGCTAATTAACATACTCTTAATGAGTCCAATCCCTCACAGCTCTATCATTTTTTTTTTTCGGTACTGAACTTGAACTTGGGACTCTGCAATCTGCCAGGCAGGTGCAGTGCCACTGAGCTACATCCCTGGCCCCCATCACTTTTTGTGTGTGTGTGGTAGGAACGTTTAAGATCTACTCTCTTAGTAATTTTCAAGTACAGTGACATGTCCCTCAACAATGGGATGCACTCTGAGGAATGTGCCATTAGGTGATTTCACAATATTGTGAACATCCTGAAGTGTATGTACACAAACTAAGATGGCTATAACATCACTAGACGGTATCACTTATGGGACCACTGATTTAAATGCAAACCTTAGAAACTATTCATCCTGACTTTTCTTTTTTTTGTTTTGTATTTGTACTGAGGATCAAATCTAGAGATTCTTACCACTAAGCTACATCTCCAGCCCTTTTAATTTTTTTAAATTTTGAGACAAGGTCTTGCTAAATTGCACTGGTGGCCTCAAACTTCCAATTCTGCTTCAGCCTGGGATTACAAGCATGTACCTGGCTTTTTAAAACCAGAATTTTCCCTGAGTTGCTGCCTCCTTGTTGATGTTTTTTATCTAGCTGTATGACAACTGGCTCACATCCTTGAGAAGGTGGAAGCAGGGTATATGAAAATTGATAAATGCATAAAGTTATGAGTAATTATCACTATTATACCAGGCAGTATTATGGTACTCTGACTGGTTTTTGTAAATGACACCCAACCAATGGTGTCTCAGAACAGTGGTTCATAAAATTTAACATGGCTCTCAATCATCTGGGAACTTTGCTAACAAGATGACTTTGAATCAGTAGGTCTGGAATGGGGCCTCAGAATCTGTGTTTCTAAACTTTTTTTTTTTGGTGGTGGTGATGCTGGGGATGGAACCCATAACCAGGGCTAGGTAAGTGTTCTACCACTTGGTATTCCCCTGCTCCTAAAGTGTTAAGCAAGGCCAAGGCTGCTAGTCCATGAATTCTATTGAGTAGAAATGCCTTAGAAACCATCACATTCTTTACTTGGGAGGCTGCGGCAGGAGGACTGATGCAAATTTGAGCAGCCTGGCCTACATAGTGAGTTCAAGACCAGTCTGAACTACAGTGGGAGATCCTGTCTCAAAAAACAAAACAAAACAACTACATTCTCAAAACTACTTTTCCTACAGGCTTCTTACTATTACCTTCTTAATTCAAACTACATGGCATAAAATGCTTATCCTCAAAGAGACGAACAAAGCCTAAATCACAAATTTCTAAAATGATAGAACAGAGGAAGCCACAAAGTTTTGTTACCTAGCATTTCCCTACCCATCAGTTAAGATTCATTACTTACTTCATCAGGGAGCTCAAGGATAGTATTATTTTTTGACTGAAATGTGATTTCAAAAGTGAACACCAAGGTTGCATTTAATGGCTCCCTGTGGAAGACAAGAGTCTGATTATTGCTGAGAAGTGGAACACGACAAGATCTAAACCAAGCCTCTGGATTTCACATGGGGCCTTCATTCCTCTAGCTTCAAGAATAGGAAATGCTGTATGCTCAACCCTGAAGGGTGAAGAGGAAGAAGAATCCTTGCTCTTTAGGCGTTTTCTGACTTTTATTAGGAGATTAGGTAAGGGGGTGGGAACATGAAAAGGCAGCACACAGACTGACAAATGAGGCAGCTGGAGGTGGACAGGCTCTCCCAGAGAGGGTCAAGTCTGAGCAGGTCTTGGAGCGAAGGTCAGAATTTGACTAAAGGAGATGAGGGCTTTCTGGGAGTAGCCCATGGGGCCTCACATCTGGGCTTAGAAGCTTGAGTTAATTTAGAGGATACCAGGAAGCCACTCAAGGGTTCTGGAGAGGGGAGAGTTGAGGCAAAAGGACTTGGGCAATTGACAAAAGTGTGGCTATGCAGAGATGGAAGGAACTGGGAATGGAATGGCTTCTCTGTAGCTGGGGCTAGTGCCAATGCTCTTTCTATGGTCTGTTGTATAGCTACAAGGCAAGGGTTACATTTGAAATATGAACAGACTGGGCTGGGGTTAGCTCTGACACAGCTGTAAGGCCTGTCTTAAGTAGGGCTGAAGATAGAATAGAGCCTGTGAACTTACCCAAGGGTGATGCTGACGTTGGCCGAGCTGCCATTTTCCAGCTTTACAACAGGAGGAACAGTGAGGCTGACAGTTGACTCTGGAAGGACCCAAGTCAATGACATGAGTCATCAGATCAGAGTTCAGACCATGATGAGAAACGGGCATAAAACCCCTGGCATCTGAATTCCTAAGTTCTGACTCACTGGTCATCCAACTTTCTAGGTGAAGAGAGGAAGGGGCTTGAGGCTCCTGAGGGGACAGGATACCTGGGCTTCATCTATACTCTTATCCCATGTGAGACAGAGACAGAGGGTGAACAGGCCAGAGCAGCAAGCATTGGAGCTTCCTCCTCTACCGGCTTTGAGGGCCTCCAAGTTACTCACAGATCATTTGAGAACCTTGGAGCCTAAAAATGATCAAAGGAATTCAAGGCACCATCTAGAACTGTAAACAATGGACTGAAACCACCTCTTCAGATGGACACCACAGGGGTCTCCTCTGTTCATGGGGACAAAATGGTGAAGAACTGGTCCAGCATCTTCCTCCCTTCTCAGATCTGCATGAAGTACAGCTCACACATTTCTAAAGAGCCTCTTGGCCTCCCTTACTGATCCAGCTCATCCCATGGGTGGATCCTTAAATATCGCCTTCCTGAGGCTGAGCATATGCTGGGGACTAGAGAATAATGAAGAATGCCATTGTTTCACCATCAAAGATTTCCTCTTGGGATTAAGGTGTTAACTCAGGATAAGGTAGCTAAATAGGCCTCCAGGAAGAAAGAGGAAGCAGGTTTGTTTGGGTCTTAGAAAACTATCTAGGTGGGGGGACTGGCTAGGGCAATGATGGTGAGCCTTTCAGAACTTTCAATGGTACAAACAGCCCACTGCAACATGGGTGCCATAGGTTCACCACCACTGGGCTAGGGTGTAGCTCAGTGGTAGAGCACGTGGGTAGTATGCACAGGGCCCTGTGTTCCTGTGTTCAATCCCCGGGTAGGGGAGGAGATGACCATCATCTTGGGAGGTAAAATACCCCAAAGCACCTTAGTCGCAGAACATAACTAACCTACCTCTTTGAGCTTTATCTGTATTCTTTGGGCACCTCCTCATACTCTGCACTCCTAGTTGTACTTAAAGCCTTGTGCTACATCTGCTCATCTTGTCTTCCCTGCCTCACCACCTTCAGGGATATGCACAGCCTAGGGGTCAAATCACAATCATGAATCTAGACTGGGATGGGAAAGGGCACCCATGTGGGGATACAGGTGCTCAACTTTGATGATGAAGATGGTCCTTGTAGGAGTAAAGATTCCAGGTAGGGTCCAGGTATCCTCTGCTCAGACCCCTCCAAGGCAGTAGACGAAGAACTGACAGCTGGAATTTTGGATAATTAGGTTGGCAGGGAACTTCAGTAACCTAATCAACCTCCAATGTTGATTCCCTTTCTCAGTCCTCCTACCCGGGAGCCCTTCTTCCTCTGCCTGGACACCTCCAGGGCCCTCACCCAGCCACAGACTTGTACTCTGGGGGCCAGCACTGCCACCTGGAACCTCTCAGACCACATATGAGCTGCCTTCTTTGTCCTAGCCTGGCAAGCATGAATGCAGATGGAGGTTATCCTGAGCCTGCAATTCCCTGGACTGAGACTTCCATTGTCCATGGTTTCCAGTCCCTTCTTGAGTGGCTGGGTCTCTCAGAGCAGGATATCCCCACCCTGGCCCTTGCAGAGGCCAAGCTGCTCAGAGTGGGCCGAGTCCTCCTTTAACTAGAGGCAGCTTTGGCCACTCTGCCCTTTGTTTTTCATGCTCACGACTCTGATATCAATTGGAGGCTTTGTGCTGGGCTTGCCCTTCTGGGATAGTGCAGGACTTCCTGTCCCTGCCTGTTAAATTTTACTAGAGCTCAGAACCACACCTGATAAGCAAGATCCAGAACAAGCCACTGCTCAGGACAGGGACACTGAAAGTGATGCCAGGCAGCCACTCATACCTCTGGGTCGCTAGGCTCTGTTGGGATGGTGGTCAGGGTGTTTAGATCTCCCACAGTCCCTGGATGTTAAAGGAGAAGGGTGGAACTCTCAGGGCACCAGATTAGAGGCTATTTCCCCCTCAGCACCACAGAAGACAGCAGTGCGAAGCAGCTGTCATACTGGGCTCTGAAAGTCACACAGTTCCATACTGGCTCTGACGTTCCCTAGCTGTGTGGTCACTGAGTGAAGCACTTAACCTCTTTGAGCTTACATTTTTTTCACCTGTAAAATGGGGAAAATAAGAACTGTCTCATGGGGTCACTGGGAAGATTTGTGGGACATTGTGTTTGTGACATGCTTTCCACATGGTCTGAGAGTGCTAAATCACTGTCGGTTACTATTTTTATCATCCAAATCATTACAAATTTAACTGCAGGACTTTTTTGGCCCAAGACAGGAGGCAGTTTAGAAGCTCACATCATATCCTGAGAAAGCACATTTTAAAGTTTAGTCTGGGGTGGTAGCCTCTGTAAACTATATCAGAATTACCAAATGAGTTATGGTAAGACCACCCCAAGTTTCCTTTAATGAGTTTTTTAAAAAAAACTAATACTCACTGGCATTTTCCCCAGTCTGTATCCACCCCATGCTAGCCACTCTGCCATGTTAATTCCCATTTTGTAATTATTGCAACAGGGAGTAGGTAATTTTATTCCTACTTTACACACAAGGAAACTGAAATTTCCAAGAGGGAAGGTGTCTTGTCCACATAGCTCAAAAATAGTGGATGCAGGATTCAAACTCAGGCCTGTCTAGTCCAAAGCCCAAGTTCTTGCCATCAGATAGCACTGCCTTAGATTCCCCCAAAAGTCAGAGACAAAAAACTTTAGAGGCCAATGATGTCATCAGTATCCTTAATGATCATTCCCCAAAGCAAAGAGCAGACACATCTGAATGACATTAGAAATCCAGTCACTTGATTTTATGTTAGCTTCTATTAATCTTTCATAATGGAATTCAGGAAAGGAGGCAATCATATAAGGGAGTGGAGATCCTATGTAAGTCCCAGCTTTGTTACTTTCTAGTTCTGTGAATTTGGGGAGGCCCCGGCCTGTTTCCCCTCCACTTAACTAGAGTTGTAGCAGCTGGATTGTTTTTGTTCTTTGGGTAAGTCATTAGCACAACTAAAGAAGTGTAAATGTGTTTGCCCACGGATGTGCACACAACCATGTGCATACAACTCTCCTTTTTTTTTTGGTACCCTGGCTCGAACTCAGGTCCTTGTGCTTGTGAGGCAAGCGGCCGAACCACTGAGCTAAATCCCCAGCCCCATACAACCCTCTCTTGCACACAGACTCAGGGTTTATTCCCAGAGAGCATGGCCCAGCAGGAGAGTGAGACTCTGGCATCCCTACTGAGAAACCCTGGGCCCCATAGACAGAAGGAATTTTCCTCTCTCAGAAATTGCTTACCCACATTTGTGACTACAAAGTAACATGACTCATATTTAACAAACCTGGAAGAGCTGGTCGGATGCCTACTGTTTTCTCAGAGATTCAAGAGGCAAGATAATTAAAATGGTGCAGCCAGACTATACATGATTCTTGGGAAATGTGTGCAGGATTTTTATTGTTTGTACCAGGTTCATTTGAACTCTTTAGTCAGAGATTTTAAAATGTATTTGTTTTTTAACAACAGATAAGCTAATGATCAAAATACTGTAATGGGTGTGGCACTCCTTTTGAGTGCTAAACAAAGCTCTTCATAGAAGAAATTCCAGAAATGTTTTGGGTAGTGGGAGAGTTGTTGGAATGACTCAGGATATGGTGGGACATGAACCCCATTCTCCGTGTGCCTCCCCACCAGCCCTGCTGGGGTGTGGCACCCTGTTCCTCTGCACTCCTCTAAGGTAGGTTTTCTTCTCTTACAAGGTGGCTACCTCATCCACTTCCCCAGTGTCTCCTAGGACCCACAGCTCTTTCGGTGATTTCTATAGGGCAGAAACATAAGCCATTCTTTACAGATATTATCTTGGCTTGCTGGTGCTCCAAAGGAGGACAAGTTATACAGTCTGATACTAAGAACCAACTGTTGACTCTGGTCATATGGAAAAAGTAACAGGGACCCCAGGGCAGAGAAGGCCAATTATTTGTGGGATCATCAGGCTCTTTGTAAAGCTCCTGGAACCCAGACTTGGGTCTGGTCCAGCACCCCTGGGTGAGGTGCAGGCAGACATTTGGCCTAGACAGTACTGAACCCTCGGTTACTCACTCTAACAGCCACCATTTCCTTTTTTACAAAGTTGATGATCCGTTTTAAAACTTACCACATCTCTCTATGAGCTTCAGAGGAAAAAGGATAAACACAAGCAGCCAATTTCTTATCATGTTCCCTGATTTCTCCGAACTAGGAGGAAAAACAAACAGCAAGAGAACTTCATGTTAAGGCTGAATCAGCTCAGCTCCAGGTGGACAGTGTGCCACCTGGAACCATGGCAACTGGACAGCTCATAAAGAACTTTCACTTCACATTTCTGACTGCTTGGCTTTTGCATCACATCCTTAGAGAAGGGAACCCAGAGAGGACTTGTCTTTCTTTGATACACAGGGAAACTGGCTCAGAGCAGCTAAGCAGGTTGTGTAAAGCCACTCTGAGGAAGTAAACCCAGACTTGAAATTTTCCCTCCTCAACTGCTTCTTGCAACTTGGTTAACAGAGAGAATGAAGATTTACTGGCTTAGTAAAACTTTGTTTTCACCCAAACTAGCTCTTCTCTCATTCCACAAAAACATGTGGACTGAGAAACTCAAACACTTGGTCAGCAAAAGTCTCCCAGCCCCAAAGGCTGAGACACCCTGGAGGAAAGACTCTAGGAAAGATAGATGCTGACAGATAAATTGATTAAAATTCTTCAAAACATAAGCTTGATGATCATATACAACTAGTAGCCTGTAAAACCTACAGTATCAAAACAGCATCTCAGACAGTGAGTTCTGTCTGGTGTGGCTTTCTTCCCAATTAAGATCTATCTTCCAGGCCTCATTCAGATGTCACCAGTTTCAAGAGCCTCTCCCATCACCACAGTCCCCTTCTGGGACGAATCTGGAGTGAGGGATCTCCTGCAGCAGCTCCCCTCTGCCAGGTATCTGTTAGTGCTGACCTCTGTCCCACCACTGGGAACTCCTGAAGAGGTAACACAGATGTGGAAAGGGGTGTGTGCTCTGGAGACAGACTATGCAGGTTCAAACCTGAGTTCCCCCATTTATTAGTTGTGTGACTTTTTATTGTGACCCCCTCAATTTCCTTATGGGGAAACAGATGGTAGTAACTACCTCATAAATGAGATGAAATATAAAGCATGCATTCTCAAAAGGGCTAAACTTGGTTTTGGGGGATGTGAAAAAACCCCTTAAAATATTACAATAGTTTACTCTTAAGTGAAATAAATCAGACACACATGTTTAAAAACTGCATTGTCTCTCTGGTGTGAGAAACTAGAAGTATAAATAAGGACCAAAATGTATAAAAGATACGGGGAAATGGGAAGAAAATATTCAAATGAAAAGGGGAACAAGGGAGTGGGATGGGTAAAAGAAAGAAAGGACAAGAAAAAAAAAAGGAAACAAAGCCTTTAAGGGGAGGAATACGGGTTGAAGGGAGGGCAGGGGAATGGGAAAAAAAGAAGTAAGATATATATCATGTACAAGTACAAATTTCCTATGATGAAAGTTATTATGTATATCTAAAATGTACCAATAAAATAAAAAAAGAAAAAAATTACAATGGTTTTAGCTCTCAAACCATTATACATAAGCAATAAAGGCTATAATACATAATCAAATACAATTTATCACCAGCATTAAAATCTCAAGAGGAGATGGGTTGAGGAGGGTAAAAAAGGTTGAAAAATACTGTATGATACAATGTGATTATTAGTGGTGCCAAGTGGCCTTGGCAAGCTCTCACAAAGCACAGTTATTTTCCTCAATCTTATTGAAAGGGTAGGGTCCAGGTGTTCTCCCTTCCTCCAGTCTGGGAACCCCAGAGGGCGGCGGGGGGCACAGGGGTGTTTCTTTTCCTGCCTAGTGTTCCGGAGCCCAGCATCGGATAAGTCAACAGTGGCTCCAGGAATGGTCCTCTCTGAGAATCGCCTGTCTCATGCAATCCGCATGCTCCCCAATTCAGATTTAGGCGGCAGCTGACAGGAGGCGGGAAGGGGATCGAACTACACTGGAACACAGTTACCCACACCACCCTGACAACCAGGTGACTGCCTCCGCGCACCCCAATCCGGGCGCTTTAAACCGGGGGCTGTGCAGGGGTAGGAGATGGAACCCAAGCGCGGGTGAGGGGACCTGTAGCCGCTGCAGGTTGCCCAAGCGATATGCCGAGTCAGTCTCTGGGCCTCAGAGGTCCGCCTGGGAAACGCGGAGAGGCTGTCTAGGCCCTGCCGGCTCTCACCTGAGATCTTCCCAGGATTCGGGGACCGACCTCACGAGACGAAGCAACTCCGCGCCAGGTACCTATTCGGAGTGTACCTGGTTTCCCCGGGCTGGGTTGACTTTGTGTGAGGGCGGGCCAGCTGTCACCTGACTCGAGTCATCTGACTCGTGGAGACCAGATCTCTGCGGGAGGTGCTCTAGCAGTTGTAGTTTTCTCGAGTCTTAACCAGAAAGAGCTGGGTAGTTTGGGGGAACCGCAGAGAGGCGCAGGCACCTTGGCAGAGATGCGAGCTCCAGGGTGAAGGGAAATCAAACCATTCCTAGGGTCACAAAGGCTCTCTGAGCCTTCATAGCTTCTGTCTCGGCGAGCGAGAATCAGACTCAGCTCCACTGTCCTGGAACTTCTGCCTGAAGGGGCGGGGCCTCTAGGTCCCGCCTTCTGCCGCCTTTTTACCTATCGCTGGGGCTCGCCGCGAGGTCCTCAGCCAATGGGAAGACGATAGGCCGCCATGTTGAGTGTGGCTAAAAGTGTGGCACTCGAAACCGATTCTAGGTCTCCCTCACAGAAGAGTTCGCTGCGTGTGCGGCGGTTAACAGGTCTGAGAGCTGCGCTAGTTGCTGCTAATATGGCTGTGGAGTCTGTCACTCTTGGCATCGACCTGGGCACCACGTCTGTGAAGGCAGCCTTGTTGGAGGCCGCACCCGGCCAGCCATCCGGGTTCATGGTACTGGCGAGCTGCGCCCGCACTTCGCGAGCGGATGCCGAGAGCAATGTGGCCGTGCCCCAGGTGAGGCAGTGCCCTGGACCCGCCGCCTCCAGGAGCCTCCAGACACCCCTCTTCCCCAAAGAGGCATCCTGCAGAAGCAAATTACTCTTGTAAAGAAATCTCTCTGCTCCTGCCAGTCTGACCATCTGCCTGCCTCCACCTCCCGAGGCCTCGCTGCCCGCAGCTCTGCCCATTCCGCTGCCAACGTTTCCCTACTCCCTGGCCTCGGGGTCTAGGCTCAGGCGCTGGATCCCTGTGCTCTCTGCTCTAAACTTTCTGCACCCCGAATTTGGAAGAGTCGCTGGCCTGTGAGTTTGGAGGAGCCACAGGCCTTCCTATCCCTCTTGCCACTCACTATACCTTATATCTGCCCTGTGCCCTCAGGTTCAAGAATCAGGTTGTTTCCCAGTTCAGAGGCTGGGTTTTACTCCGGAACCGGAAATCAGATGCAGAAGCTGGCCTAACTGGCTCTTCTTATTTCGCAGTCTCTAATGTGGTCCGAGAAACTAATAACACCTGATCAGTAAGTCTCCCAGCCCCAAAGGCTGACAGACAAAGGCTGGAAGACATCAGGACAGAAAGACACCGAAAGAGAAATCAAGTAAAATGTTTTTTAAAATAATCAAGTTGATAGTTATACACTACATCTAATGGCTTATGAAAGCTACAAGGTACAGGAACAGAATTTCAGGACAGGAGTTCCTTTTGGGAGATGTGGGTAGGTTCGGAAAAGGTCAGACAATTCTCAACTGAATCCCATTAATTTCCTCAAAAGGGTAGCTTTATGTACAGTCAGTTGGCAGTGGAAATTAATGTCAGGGAACCTGCGTAACCTCTGACTTGTTCTCTGAGTTTGAACGAGTGACCTCTTAGGCCCCTTCTAGCCACAACCCTGATTTTCTGAGGTAAACCTCACCCCCAGCAGCTTTGTTTTTCATAAGCTCTTGCCACATATCATTTCTGTAGGGTTCAGAATCCAGCTTGCTTAGAAGCTTTCAGAAGATAAAAATTTAAGGAGCACTTCTCATTTTCCTAGAGGCTTTTAAAATTAGTTTGGGGCAGCAGGGCATTTTAGAGTAATCATTTCATATCATAGACTATGAAATGGAAGCACAATTGGCTCTGAGCCTGTGGGGTTGGTCAGCATGGCTGGGATTATAGGAGTGTGGGTGTTGACAGTGACTTTTCCTCTTGAAATAGGGTCACTTTTTTGTGGTGCTGGGGATCTGGGTATTATTGAACTAGTCAAGTGCTCTACCGCAGCTCCAGCCCCAGCCCAGGGACACTTTTTGAAAACTACTTTTTCCTCCATGTCTTCTAGCATTCATCCGGTTTTCAGATTACAGGGACACTCATCATGCCACACCTGCCCTATAAAAGGCAGTAATTACCCTCATCTCCCCCTCATCCTCCACATGTATGTTATGCTTGGGGACAAATGGCATTAGTGTGACTTGTCAACATTGGCATTGGGCGGTGTAATTCTTTGTTGTAGGGCATTGTCCTACCCGCTCATCATACTCACCCAGAAAACTGGAATTGACTGCCAACACTGACTCCTTGTCTGTACTCCTATCAGGCCTGTTTCCCTCCTTCATTGCCTCCACCCACACAACTCACCCACCCTGGGCCCATTTTAAACAGAGGTTCCACTGTCCTGGGGTGATGCACCATCTGATGACCTTATGGGGACTCTAAAACCAGCACAGTACAAGCTACAAATATGAGCCATGGCTGTAATTTTCCAGTAGCCATTTAAAAGGGGCAAAAGGAATAGGGTGAGATTCATTTTAATTACATATTTTGTTTAATTCAATGTATACAGTGTATTATAATTTTGATGTATAATAATCAATAGAAGTTTATTAACAAGATACTGTGCATTCTCTTATCCATCTTAAATCTGAAATCTGGTTTGTAGTTTCCACTTACATCTCAGTCCAGACTAGCTGCGTGGCACCAATGACTGCTGTATTATACAATGCAGATTTAAGCAGATAGCTCTACTTTCTTGCCCCTTTTGTTCTTTCTTGCTGTCTGGGGATCATGCATAGCCGTGTTCCTCTGTCTTTCAGTGCCCTGTTGGTTTGCCTGGTGCCTGTCCCACATATAAAGGATCCTTGTTAGGTTCTGGAACTGCCCCTTCAGGAAAATAACTGAGTTCCCTCTCCACTCTTTCTCTTCCTTGCCTTCCTTTTTTGTTCCTTTGTTCATTCTTGTTAGGAGCCAAGAACTGCCCTGAACAAGGCCAGCAGGTTTGTTCAAAGGAGTGGAGGGAATCAAGGAGCCTCTTAATCTTTGAATGATTTTTCAAGACTGTAAGCTTTTTCAGTTCCTCAAAGAATGTACATTTAGTAAGAGCTGATCCACTCTCACTTCCTTTTCTGAATGTTCCATGGATCCTTCCAGTTGTTAAATAATAAGTTTATTTAGTGCCTCGAGATGATTTTTTAAAATGCTATAAACAGTATATTTTGGGTGAAACAAAATAAGTATTCAATTTTTGAAATTCAGGACACTAGTTCTGACTTAAGCTTTTAAATTTAACTTGGAAAGTTTATTCCATTAATAAGTAACATTAAAAAAGAAAGAAATATAGCAAAAAAGCCCAAAACAAAATTTAAAAAGTCTAACATTTTAACCATCATTTATGAGGGCCTTTGAATAATACTTAATTCCAATTTGGCTAATTAAATACCTCAGACATTTTATTTTTATTTATTGAAAATTTTAAAATGCAGTGCTGGGAATTAAACCAAGTAGTGTCCTGCCACTGAGTTGCATGTCCACTCCCATTAATTATTTGTTTGAGACAGGATCTCACTGTGTAGTTAGGCTGGCCTTGAGATCGATCCTCCTGCCTCTGCCTCCCAAATGCTGGGATTACAGGGGTACACCACCATGCCTGGCTCTCCTTAGTTGTTTTAAACTGCAGTTATACACTTAATCTGTTTTCTGGCTTAAGTACTGCAGTTTTTTGAACAATTCAAATTCAGATACTGGGCAGGGGGTATAGCTCAGTGGTAAAACATGTGCTGGGTTTGATTCCTAGCATCAACTCTGCCCCCCGAAAAACCAAAACCGAAACCAAATACACAACAACAATAACAAAAAAATAACTCAGAAATTGCAAAAGTGAAAGGACTTTATCTGGGGTTTTAGGACTTGTAATTTGGGAGACTCATGTTCAGCTAGCTAGTTTGGAATCAGTGTTCCAGAGAAGTTGGAGAAGTGGGAATTTAAATGGGCAAGCTTTACAAAGCAGTAAAGAAAATCCTTTGTAGGGAATTTCTATCGAAATGAGAAAGAATGACAGGCTATGTGACTGATAGAAGATAATGAAAGTAAATATTCAGTAAAACGGTTCATAAAACAAGAGTCTGATAATTGCTTGATAGCCATCTTGAGTTTCTGGGTACAATATAATTATGATGTGTTCTAGAACCTGCAGCTGAAGGGAAACAGGTTAAATAAATCATGTGCAAATCTGCTTTCTGATGGTCTCTCCACAATTTTGAAAATCTCATTCAGTGTTCTTGTCATCATGATTTAAAAAAATTTTTTTAAGTTGTCTGACTTAAATATTAGAATTCCTTTTTTTGTTTGTTTTGGTACCAGGGATTGAACTCGGGTCCTTGTGCTTGTGCAACAGGCAGCGAAACCACTGAGCTAAATCCCTGTCCCTGTCTGACTTAAATATTTTGTTGTTGTTTTTTTTGTTTTTTTGGTACTGGGAATTGAACTCAGGACCTGGTGCTTTCGAGGCAGGCGTGGTGCCACTGAGCTAAATCCCTGGCCCTCTGACTTAAATATTTTCAGAATATTTAAGTAATTTTTAGAAAGCAAATAAATTAAATGTATACCCAAGGAAAGCTTCAGTGTTCTTACATGTTTCAAATCCTCTTATAAATGTAGTAGAGATTTGAATTTATAATCACAAAGGTAGATCTGTTGTTCAATTTCACAATTTAAATTGCAGTTACAAAAGCAGCCTAGACCAAATTCTCTTAAACATACAAATTTACTTAAAATACTAATACTCCACGATTCCTTAAGCACAAATATTAATAGCATAGGTATGATTCTTTTAAACATGCATAGATATTTAATTCTTGATCTAGCCACTTTGAAATCTACTTATTCACCAAAACAAGTATGCCAACTGGATTGCTTTCCCAAGTGAATATTTTGTGGTGACTTTCTTAGCTTTTTGAAGTTTAGAGGGTTGGATTTTGCCTATTGCCCCTACATCTTCCAGGCTCTTCCCTGCTGCATTCCCTAGTCCCTCTCCTCCAATATATATCTGTTCCTTTAGTTCAGATTGCTCAACTCTTGCACTTCCCTGCTGTATTTGGGGAGGTATTGTTCTCTGAACCCCAACAAAGGAAAGATGCTGTCAAGAAAGGCCCAAGCACTCTAGGATGAACCCTATTATTCTGGGCACCTTCTGGAATGGAATAGAACTGAATGGGAGAGAACTCCTAGTTATGGTCTCTAACAGGGTTTAATCATTAAAGGACAAGAGGGTCACAGAACCTAGATTTTTTAGGTTTATATCCCATCACAGCCTACTGTTGGAGTGGAGTCTGTAACTCCCACCCATCTGGACATACTGCTTAATTGGAGTTGGCATTACTTCAGATTAAGATATCAAAATGTGTTTTTCCCACCTAGCTCCACAGACTCAGTTTGAACTTGTCCAAATTCTTATTCCTGTCTCTTAGTATTAGGACCACTTTATTTTTGCAGGTGTTAATAATAATATGATATTACATTAAATCTGCTTTATCTTCTCTCCCCCTTCTCAAGCTGGGGGTTGATCCAGGGCCTCATGGATGCTAAGCTTGGACTCTCCCACAGAGCTACAACTCCATCTTTAAAAAAAAAAATCAAATAGGATCAGCTTTATTTATTTTTTATTAGTTTGTTTTCTTAAGAGATGGAGTTTCTTGGGGCTGGGGATTTAGCTCAGTGGTTCTGGCACCCGCCTCGAAAGCACAAGGTCCCGAGTTTGATCCTGGTACCAAAAAAAAAAAAAAAAAAAGAGATGGAGTTTCTCTGTGTAGCCCAGAACTTCTGGCCTCAAATGATCCTCCTGCTTCAGGCTCCAGAGTAGTTGCTAGTGCAGGCATGAGGGATCACACCTGGAGGTGACTTTGTCTTTCAAGTTTACTCTGCCTAGGGAAGTTATCAAGGAGAGAGGAAGTCAGAAGAAAAGGCTCCTCAGGAAAAGATGGTCCTGATTTTTTTGCAATCTTTTCTCCATCCCTGATACTATCAGTCTCTCTTTGTGTAGCTGATGCCATTGTTCAGCTAATGTTCTGAAAAGAACTCTGGTGATAATATTTGTCTTTGAGAATGCTCTTGGGACTCTCATTACCTATCCTGGGGTCTTAGACCTTTGGGCCTTTCTGGTGGCATCTTTCTTATGTTGGGGTTCAGAGAAAGGTAGCCTTCAAATATGGCAAGTTTTTGGTATGCTGAAAAATTTATTCTAAAGGAAGTAATTAAAAGGCCTTTAAAAAGCAAGTTCAGGAGCAAAGTCCCTCTAACAGTCTTGATTCTCCTATCTAAGCACATGAAGAGGCTGTCTCTGGAATTACTTAAGTAATTAAGTTTAGTCTTTAGTGTTAAGACTAAACTGTAAGCTGGATGTGTGCCTGTAGTCTCAGCTACTGGGGAGGCTGAGGCAGGAGGATCGTTTGAGCCTATGAATTTGGGGCCAGCTTAGGCAATACAGGGCGACTTCACCTCTTAAGAAAAACAACAGCAACAACAACAACAATAGCAGAAAACCAGACTACAAATGGAACAGAAATGCCTTCCAATCACCACTTGAAATCTTACCGTCAGTCTCAGAGAAGACAAAGGAATGTAGCCATATTTGGACAGGTTACTAGTACAAGGTAAAGTTTATGCCTTGGGCTCCTCCAGATTACAAAGAGAATCATTTTACAAGCTAATTTCTGTCTCCTAAGTATTACTTAAGATTCTCAAAGTTATCCACATTCCCCACTCACCCCTGCCATTTAGAAGAAGGAGCACATGAGCATTGGAATCATATTGAACCCATGGGTACCCATGTTCCTATGACTTTCCTCCATGCTGTGACGTTTTTCCTTTGTGCACGCTAATAAATCTGTGTGCTTTTATTTATCTGTGGTCAGTTCATACCAGTGAACCTGAAATGGAAGGGAAGGGAGGGGCATTTCCCTTTGCCCCTGTACCTGCTAGACTCCTCCCTGCTACACTGTACAGTCCCACCCACCCTGTGCCTTCTGAAGAAGACCCCTCTTCCATTTCCCCGATTGATACCATGGAGCAGGAGAAGTGCTTTCTCAGCTCAGCCTGCCCATGGTGGAGAATGGCCTGGGCCACATGCTGAACCTCATCTGTGAAGGCAGGGAGTGGGCCCTTGCTGGAGGTGGCAGCAAACCCTCAGTCCCACACCTTGCCTTTGAGGCTATGCAGCAGGTCTGGGAAGTGATCCCAGTGGATTGAGCTGGCAGCTCTCCCCCAGGAAATCCCTTGAGTCCTGCTTTTCCTCTGCATGTTTGTCTGCCCCTGCCCATCATATCCTGTTCTGTTTCCAGGGGCGGGAGCAGGATGTGAGTAGGATCATCCGAGCCCTAAACGAGTGCCTCGCTGCCCTTCCCCAGAAGCAGCTCCAGAAAGTCGGGGCCATTGGAGTGTCAGGACAGATGCATGGCGTCGTGTTGTGGAAAACAGGCCAAGGTATGCTGGGCTTGGGGAGACAGTTTCATGCTGCTGCAGCTCGCTTATCATGCAAGAAGAGGGCTGCAAAAGACTGTCCAAGCCACACCAGTTCATACCATGGGAAGAATGTCTTGTTCCTCAGAAGGAAATAACTGACGTTGTTGCCCATCCATATTTTGTGCACATTTTGTGATGAAGCAAACTACTCACAGTTCATCAGCGCTTTCTCTCTGAACAGGCAGGGGAAGAGTGAATGCTCTCAGATTCCTCTGTACGATTTAGTGGAGTGGAGTTTTTTGGTGTTTTTGAGACAGGCTCTCACTATGTTGTTCAGGCTGGCTTTGTACTCACTGTGTAGCCCAGGCTGGCCTTGAACGTGCAGTGATCCTCCTGCCTCAGCCTCCCAAGTGCTGAGATTACAGGCTTGGAGTGGATTTTCTAAAGCTTTGTCTTTGTGTTAGTGTCTCAGAACATTAGTGAGGACAACCATGGGATTAGCTGTAACTCTACAAATGCTAAGACATAGAGGCAATTCTTTGCAATTTGGGCAAAGTTTTTGTCCCCTTGTGATTTTTCTATCCTTTCTAAGGGCATAATGGAATATTCTTTTGGGCATAATGTATTCAATTCTTTGGAATTTATGCCTTGTTTTTGTCCTTTATATGATCACAGCTGTTTTTGATTTTTCAATTCCAGGGAGTATCCTTTTGAAGGGCTCAGTTGCAGGTGTGCTGCAGTGTGGAGGAGGTGACTTGTTCTGTTTGGCCCCCAGGAGGAGACCAAGCCAGGAGAACAACAGCAGGCACCTCACGTGCCAGGTGCCGGGCTAAGAGTGTTACCTGCATGACCTCATCCATCTTTCCCAACAACCTTAGGATGAAGGTGACTGTCAGCATTGTGCAGATGAGAAACAGAAGTTCAGAGGGTTTTGAATAATATGCCCAGGGTCATATGGCAGCAAGTGGTGATGCCAGCATTTGAACCTGAGTTGGTCTGTCTGACTTCAGACACTACAGGAGGGCACAATGGCTCGTTGAAGAGAGGGACTACCTAATGGATTGTCCAAGGAAGGGACTTCCAATGGATTGTCCTATAGGAAGTCATGAGCTGCGTGAGGTTAGGCATTAGCATTTTTAAAATTATAAAATATTTTATATATAGACATAAAATAGGGAAAATGGTATTATGAACCAATCTGAATCCATTACCTGGCTTCTACAAAATCAGCATTTAAGTGCAGATTTTGTTTTTTAGATTGAGGTCTTATGTGTGGCCCAGGGTGGGCTTGAACTGTTGGGCCAAAGTGATCCTTCTGCCTCAGCCTCTTGAGTAACTGGGATTACAAATGTATATCACTGAACCTGGGTGAGTATTTGTGCTTTAAGTGGAAGATGGATGGCTACTTCAGGGAGATTTTGCAGGGAGATGTGGTTAAAAGGATAGAACATTGAATTCACCTCTTTCCACCTGGAGCGTCAGAGACTCGGAGTCCCCTGGGCCCAGTGAGTGGTGATTTGACTCTCAGCATGGCTGGTGTCTAGTGATGTGTAATTTGATCATGTCCAACACAAGGCTGGATAACTGTGCAAGCCAATGCAGGTTTTTTCCCCTCTTCCCTCTCTATCTGCTTGTCAGGCCAGCTGAGACACTGGGAGCTGTTTGGCTCCAAGCAGTGGCAGGAGCAGAATGCTGATTAGAGCGTCACAGGGCTGACCTCTTAGCAGGAGTCTAGGTTGTAAAAGCTTTTTAAACTCCTTAATTCTGCATTAATGAGAATAAATGTTCTTTTAATACTAAAACCCTTCCCAAAGAGGACAGCAGAGATCTAATGATTGTGGTCTGGTCATATGCCTTCCTTTCTGTCCTTCTCCTGGTCTAACCACACAAACCATCAGCCACATTGGTGGAAAGAGCTGCTTAATATTTCATTGAGCCAGCTCCATACCTTCTTGTTTTGTTTTCTGTTTCTGGGAAGGAAGAAGGCCACTGTTCGCTGATGATGATTCCTACTGAGTGAAGTTGAGTGAAATCAGATTTGGGATCAAATCGTGCCTTTTTAAATGGTAGCCTTAATTCAGTTTGGCTTCACTCCCTACAAAATATAAGGCCCCGTGCTGGGCCCTGTGGGAGAAATAGCAATGAGTGGTGAAGCCTTTACCTTCTAGAACATGGCCAACACAGTCAGGCACCTGTAATTGAGTGGAGAGCTAAGTGCTTCAGTGAGCTCATAGGCAGGCAGTTTGGACAGGAGGGAGTGATTAGTATTTTCTAAGAGGCCTGTGGTTACTCCTGTTTTCAGATTCCATTTTCAGGCACAGTAAAAGCAGGAGAGAAATAGAGATTATAAAGCAAAACTGAGGCTGCACTCTGTTCAGAAACAGCCCGGCAGATTGTCCCTCCAATAAAGGCTTGCTGTGGAAAAAAAGAAAAAAAAAAAGCAAAGGTGAAAGGCAAGCAGCAGATTGGAAGAAAATATTTGCCAATGTAGAGAGACAAAAGACAGGCGTCAGTATGAATAAAGGGGCAGTAACAAAGAAAGGACAAATGGGCAAAGAATCCCAACAGGCAGTTCCTAGAAGAGGAAATACAATGGCTCATAAACATGAGGATATGCTCAATGTCATTAGTAATTAGGGAAGTACAGATGAGAACAATGAGAAATCATTTTCCACCACAGATTGTAAGAAATCAGAGTTTGGGCATGTCAAGGGCTATACAGGGCAGGGGGAGATTTAAATGCTGCTGCTGGTGGTGTAAATTAGTAGAGCTGAAGGGTAGTTTGTCAGGCCTATGACAAATAAGGTAGCTGCTATGACTCTATGAGTTCTACCTGGAATCTGACCATGAAAAGTGCTGGAAAACGTGCAGGAGGACACATCAACATGGTCCTTCACTGCATCCTTGCTTAGTAGTAAAAATGTGACCTTCAGCTGAGGGGGGTTAAATAAATGCTGGCAGGCCCATGCTGTGGAATGATGTGCAATACATTCAAGTGTATTGACATACAAAGAACTCAAGACCGTATTGTTGGACAGCAGTAAGTACAGTATAAGACTATTAAAAAATAGACCAAGCCCCCTGTGCCCAAGTTAATTAAACAAAACCTGTCTCAGTGTAAAAACTTTGGATAGATACTTGCAAATACCAGTTGATAGGATGGAAGCTGTGACTCTGGTGGGGGGTGGGCAAGCAGGGCCTCTGGTTTGTCTCTAATACTATTCGTAGATTTTATATTGGGAATGGATCCATTTATCATTTATGTCACTAAAAACTTCAAAAAATGCATCAATTCTTTATTAAAAGAAACAAGAAAGGTAGAAGATATTCATTGGGTCAGGTCCTGGAACAGACTGCTTAGATTTGAATCCTCATTCTAACACTTATTAACTGTATGAACTTGGACAAATTTTAAAAACTTCATGCTTTGTTTTTCTTATGTGTCTTTAACTAATGTGGGGATAATTATCACTTTGGCTTATACTGTTATGTAGATTAAACCAATCAATAGTTTTAAAGTCTTCAAACAATACCTGGTACATTTATCATGTGCACTGTATTTTTGTTTTATAATAAAATGACAGTTTGAAAAATTGGATCAAAAGAGTTTTAGAAGTAGACAAAGAGGTTGAAAAAAAGCTAGAGATTCAGGGCCGGGGATTTAGCTCAGTGGTTCCGGTGCCTACCTCACAAGCATAAAGTCCCAAGTTCAATCCCTTTGAACTTGGTACCAAAAAAAAAAAAAAAAAAAAGCTAGAGATTCAGCTTTAGGGCTGGGATAAGTATCTCAGCCTTAGATTTGGATAGGAATGAAGCTGTGAGGTAGACTGCCAGGAGGAACCCCTCCATTCCACCCCATCCTCTGCTCCAGGTGAAATTTAACATGATGGTAAGCAGATGTTGCAGGTGCATGGTTCCCAAAGCCTTTATCTGCAATTTTCCTCCCTCCTCTGCTAGGTATGGCAAGGGATAAGAACCAGAGATTTCTTGACAAGGTCCCTCAGAGCCTTTGTCCCCACTCTTCCATCTACCTGCACCATGTGTCCCCAGCTATTCTTAAGGGTCACTTTCCTACTTAATTCAGGTCCCTCCTTACATGACACCTCAGAGAGGACTTCCATGACCATCTCAACATCCGTGATCACTCTCTTTCCCCTTACCCTGCTGCACATTTCTTCATAGTAACTAAAAGTACCTGGTCCTATACGTTTGCTTGTTTATATTCTGTCTCCATTGATAGCATACAAGCTTCACATAGGCAGTGACTTTCTCTTGTTCATTGCTGTATTTTCAGAGACTAGAAGCAGTGGCTAATACACATTACTCAATAAATGCATCACATACCCATGCACGGCCGTGTTGAAGAATGGATGATGCTTCATGGCCTGGAACTAAGTGGAGAGGGCCAGATGAGTCTCTTTCTTTGGATCTTGGTGAACAGATTTGTAGGAAAATATAACGGCCTTGTCACCCAATCTAGGACCTGACATTGGGCATTGCTTTTTTTCTTTTTCTTTCATAGTATTTCCCCTGCTTGGCTCATGGTAGGCACCATTCTGCAGTGGGAGCTACATTCTTACTTCCATTCAGCAGATTTGGGGTGTCCTCAATTGCCATTAACTTGTTTTGGACTTCAACTTAGTGTTAACTTTCTTTCCCCATTTTGCTACAGTGGTTGTATTTATATTGCATGATGGTGTGGAAAACATACTGATATGAGGAGAGGAGAAAGCAAAAGATATATAAAGGAGGTATATTATCTTTCTCAAAGGCTGCTGGAAAAGTCTGGTACGGTGGACAGTTTAAAGCCATGTTAGTCAGCTTTCCATTACTATTACAAATACCTGAGATAATGATAAGTTTATGGGGGAAAGTTCTATTTTCCATTCCATGAGCGATTGACTCTATTGTTTTGGGCCTGTGGCACCAACCCATGTTGAGAACATGAGGTGGAGCAAAATTGCTCATCTTAAGCCTGGAAAGTGGAAAAGAGGGAAGAAGTCAGAGTCCCACAATCTCTTGAGGTCATACCCTCAATCCCCTAAAGAGCTCTCACTAGTCCCCATCTTTTAAAATTTCTACCACTTTCCAGTAGCGCCAAGCTGGGGACCAAGCCTTTGATTCATGAGACTTAGGGGGACATTCCAGACCCAAATTATAATAGAAGGTAAAGTTTCACCCCCCCCCTTAACCTTCACTAGTATTTACTGAGCATTTATTATGTGCCAGGTATTGTTCTGAGCACTTTTATTATGGTTTCAATCAAAAAGTCCTCCAAAAGGCTGATGTATTCAGAGTGGGGCTTTTGAACGCTGATTAGATCATGGGGGCACTAGTTCCTATTGATGAGGTCATAGGTGAATGCATTGTTAGGAGGTGGGGCCTGATTGAGGACTTAACCTAGAAGGATATGTTTTTGTCCTCTTCCTGTCTCTCTGGCTTTTTCCCTCTCACTCTGTTCCTTGTCTGCCACGAGACAAGCAGCTTTCCTCCGTCACACCCTTCTGTCATGATATTTCTGCCTTAGAGCTGGTCAAGCATGCACCAAAACCTCTAAAACCATGAGCCAAAATAAACTTTTCTTCGTTTAATTATATATATCAGGTATTTTGTCCCAGCAACAGAAAGTTGATGAATGCAGCTTTATATATAAATCCTATATGTTAATTCATTTAATACACACAACCCCGTTTAATACACAGCGCATAATATGCACACCCTAACTGTAACTCTTCCCTACTAACCCAGGAGTAAAGTGGCTGGGCCTCTAGGATCCAGTGTAAGAGTTCTAAGTGCTTTCTGACTTCTAGACACAGTTTCCACTAAGATGATGAGCTAGTGTGACTGCCAGCTTTTGCCTCCAAGATAAGTTTGAGAGAAGTTTTAAGAGGGAAGAAACCATCAAGGGAAGGGGAGAATACCATGGGGGAACTCTGGGGTGATGGAGCTCCTTTGAGCTGGAGTGTGTGGGTTGATGGTTTGGATCTTGGCAAGAGACAGCCAACACTGCCGGTGCAAAGAGGGCCAGGAGGGGAACTGCTGCTTCCCCTTGCTTCCTGCGGTCATCTGTCTCCATTCCTTCAGGAACTCAGCTCCCTTCAGGAATAAATCAAGGCAGCAGAGAAGAGCAGTTGTCTCCTTTAAAGGCTGATGTTCTATAATCTAAGGGTCCTTATAACTTTGTTCTTGGGGGCAGTTGGGAAGTCCTGGCCTGAGGAGATATTTTGTGTGGTGGGTGTGGGTTTGTTGTAGATTTACTTGTGAATCTGCTCCAGGACTCTTGCCTCATTCCTAGGTCACTGGGGCTGGCAGAAACTGATGCCTGGCTCTTCACATTGCCTGGCAGCATAACCACTGTTTCCAGGAGAAAATGATCTCATGGGCCCTGATAATAAGACAGCTGAAGAGCACAACTATTTCACAAGGCAAACATTGTGCTGGGTTATTTGAAGTAGATTACATCAGAGGCAGAACTCTTAGCATAGGACACACTGAGATTTAAAATTAGCTCGATACAGTAAACAATATTAAAGGAAAATCTTAGCAAGAGTGCAACGAAAGAACACATAAAAAACATATTTAGGTATGAAAATATAGCTGCTGAAACAAAGAATATATGAGATTAATAGCAGAGTGAATAAAACTTCAGAACAAATCAGAGAATAAAAGATAAGATTGAGATCTCTTAGAAGGAAGGAAGAACAGAGAAGTAGAAAAATATATGTAAGATCTTGAGAATACAAATAGTAGCACCAGTATCTAAATAATAAGAAATCTGAAAAGAGAAAAGTAAAAGTGGAAAGGAGGAAATATTTGAAGAAAGAATGAAGAAAAATTTCCCATAATTGACAAAGTAACATGAAATACTCCCAACTGTAAAGGTCGTGTGTTAGTTAGCTTTTCATTGCTCTGACAAAATACCTGAGAAAAACAAAGAGGAAAATTTTATTGTGGCTCATGGTTTCAGGAGGTTTTAGTCCATTGTTGGCTGGTTTCATTGCTGTGGGCAGAAAGCAGCCAGGAGAGAGAGGGAGAGGAGAGAGGGCAGAGGGGAGAAAGATAAGGAGATGGAGAATGAGAAAAGAGGAGAGGAGGAAGAGGGGAGAGGAGAAGGGAAGGGAAGGGGAAGGGGAAGTGGGGAGAAGAGAAGAGAAAGGAAAGGAGGAAAAAGCCAGCAAGGTAGACCAGGGACAAAATATAGCCTTCAAAGCCAGTGACCTTCTTCATCTAATTAGGCCCTACCTCCTAATAAGCCAGCTGAACTATGAACTCATAAGCGCATTAATCCATTGATGAAGTTAGAATCCTTGTGATTCAGTCACTGCCTTAAAGCCCATAGCTGGCAACAAGCCCCTGGCACATGGCCTCTGGGGGACATTCCAGATGTAAAGCACAACATTCTGCCCTGGCTCCCAAAGCTTTTGCTAGTAATAGTGGTACTATTATTTCTCAATGCAAAATGTACTTAGTCTGTCTCCAAGAGTGGCCCACAGAATGTCAAAAAAATTCCCACTGGTAGATATAGTCGGTTGAATGTATGTTTTAAGAATTTCAAATACTGGGCCAGGGATATAGCTCAGTGGCACCTCGCCTGTGCCTCACAAGTGCAAGGTCCCAAGTTCCATCCCCAGTACAGGGTGGGTGGGTGGAGGGAGAATTTCAGTTACTAAGGCAGGAGAATCACAAGTTCAATCCCAGCCTGGGTATCTTGTTGACTTAGTGAAACCTTGTCTCAAAATAAAAAATAAAAAAGAGACTGAGGATGTAGCTCAGTGCAAAGGCCTAATCCAATCCCTACTACTGCAAAAAGAAAAAAAAAATTCAAAGAGAAAATTCCAAAAGCTTACAGAGCCAAAGATAAGATTTCATATAAGTGAATAAGAGGCAGACTACATTAGACTTTTTCAGTAGCAATACTAAGTAAAAAAAGAATGCAGGGAATATAGCTCAGTGGTAGAATGCCTTGTTTCTATACCCAGTATTGCAAGTTAAAAAAAAACAAACCAGCCTGCTTTGGCTAAGCGTGTTGTCACACACCTGTAATCCTAGCACTGTAGGAAGCTGAGGCAGGAGAATCACACGTTGGAGACCAGCCTGGTCAATTTAGTGACTCAGTGCAACCCTGTCTCAAAAAATAAAAAGAAGAGGGCTATGGATGTAGGTTAGTGCACACCATAGGTTCAATCCCAAGTACTAAAAAAAAAAAAAAGGAATCATTTTTTTGTTTTGTTTTGTTTTAAAACAGAGTCTTGCTCTGTAATTCAGGCTGGCTTTGAACTCACTATGTAGCCGAGGCTGGCTTCAAACTCATGGCTTTCTTCTTGCCTCAGCCTCTGGAGTGCTGGGATTACAGGCGTGCACCACCATGCCCAGTGTGGAATCAATCATCTTTTGATTATCTGTTGTTACGTCACAAACTACTTCCAAACTTAGTGATTAAAATAACCACCATCTTACCATGTCTCATAAGTCAGGAGCTGGGCAGGGTTCAGCTGACTGGTTGTTTTACCTGGAGTTGGTGGAAGTTGCTTGTTAGTATTCAGCTGGTGGGCAGACTTGTCAGGAGGGTTCATGATGGCTTCGCTCAGCGCCTGGTGTTGTGGAGGGAGGTACGAGGCTGGGGTCACCTGGAAACATCTGCCAGACTCCTGCCTGTGGCCTCTCCCTCTAGTCTCCAGCATGGTGGCTTCACAGTGGCTGAAGTCCTTGCCTACAGGCTGGTTTCCTACAACACTTTTTATGACCTAACCTTGGGAGTTCAAGACTTACTACTCATTTTCTTGGCCAAAGAAGTCACCAAGGCCAGCCCATAATTCAAGGAAACGAGAAGACACTAACCTCTTGTTGGGAGGTATAGTAAAGCATTTGGAGTAATCTACCACAAATAATGGTTTTAAGCATTTAAAGGAAAGGAATTTAGAACCTAGGATGTTATAACTGATCAAACTGTCGTTCAAATATGAGAATATGAAAAGCATGCTGAGGCATGTATCGTAGGTCTGTGGATACTTTGCCACAGGAAGACCTGCACTGGAAACAGTTTTGGATGAAATATTTAAATAAGAGCAGAGAATAATTCCAGAACATTTGTTAAGAGATAAGAGGTAGAGATAGCTAGATTTCCTAGTGAAGTTTGGCCTAAAAGAATCAATTAGCCTGGAGCTCAGTGGCAGAGCGCATACTTGGCATGTGTGAGGGCCTGAATTTGCTCACCATTACACACACATGCACACACACACATCTGTTAGGTAAAACCAAAGGAAGAGAGAAAATGCATTGGTAATCAATCAGAACCAAGCCTAGATAATGTATCCTAACAAGAGTTGGAAGGACAGGAGAACAGCGGACTTGAGAGTGTACCAAATATTTTCTCTTGGTCTGGGATTTAGCTCAGTGGTGCCACCACCTGCCTCGAAAGCGCAAGGTCCTGAGTTTGATCCCTGGTATGAAAAAAAAATTTTTTTTTTCTCTTATGAAGTATGTGTGTGTGGATATATAATATCAATTAAAAAATGAATAAAAAGAAGCAGAAGTGAGACAAATGGAGGGATTAAATGACTTGCCCAGCGCCATGCAGCCCCTCTGACACCAGAACCATGTGTGAGCCAAGCACCGTCACAGGGTGAAGATGACTGTGTTGTAAATGCACCAGCAAAGAAGCCTCAGGGATGTGTCAGTGTCCACTAAGGTCTCTTTTCTCCTCCCCTTTATTCCAGGCTGTGAATGGATGCAGGGAGGTTCTGCCTCCATGTTTGAGGCCAGAGCTGTGAGTCACCTGGTTACATGGCAGGATGGCCGATGTAGCAGTGAGTTCCTGGGTTCCTTGCCCCAGCCATCATCCCATCTCAGTGTGGCTACCGGTTTTGGCTGTGCAACCATCTTCTGGCTTTTGAAAAATAGGTAGGACAAATGGTCTTTGAATGAACACTGGATTTCCAGGGGCTGAGAGTGGGTAGAGGCTGCAGCTCCTAATGTATTGCACTTCAGTGAGTGTAGCCTGACACAGGGCACAGCCACAAGACCTAGATTTGGTCCAGAACAGCTCAATTTTGCAGCAATCTTTTAGTTATCCAGTTCTAACTGGAACAGGGAGGGCAAGTGACTTGCTGAGGGTCACATGAGAGTCAGTGGTGGGGTCGGGACTGGTCATTCACTGAGAAGGGCCATGTCCTGCTTTCCTGGCATAGTGCTTCTTCCCTCGAGGTCTCTTCCCTAGGGCTGACTCAGGCTGGCTTTGCTGGGAGTGTTTGGAAGGAATTTACCCCAGGGATCCAGCTGTACTTGAGCCACAGGAGGAGGGGTTGTGGCTGTGTCCCACCTACACTGTATGTCTAGTCCCCTCTGCTCACAGATAGAAGCAGCGAGTGCTTCCACATCTATATAACACCCTGTTGAACTGTTTTTGATATAAAAAAAAACCAGTCCAGAGCTCCTGCAGTCCTATAATGCAGCCGGCACCATCCAGGACTATGTGGTTGCCATGCTGTGTGGCTTGCGAAGACCACTGATGTCCGACCAGAATGCTGCTAGCTGGGGATATTTCAACACTCAGAGCCAAAGCTGGAACTTGGAGATGTAAGTGTAACCTTACAGGGTGGTTCTTGGCATAGGGCACCTCCCAGAGAGAGCTTCATGGAGAGTTTTCCCATCTGGAACTTTCACTGCTTGATATATTTTAAACTAAGATTAAGAATGGGAGGTAACAGGCTGGAGGGCTACCTTTTAAATTCTTTTTAAACAATCATTTGCCTTTTCAGGTGCAGGAGTCCAGTGCCCTTTAAGTGCATTTCCTTCAGGGCCCAAATTCTGAGCTTTGAAACAAAGCAAAAAACACTTAGTAGTTCAGGTAAAGGACTTTCTAGCATGTCTTATAAAACTGGAAGTCCCGTATTCACTAACCTTGAGTGATGAATGCATTTGATATTCAGGAGGCTGGTGGGTTTGACTTTGGTCTGGATTGTGCTAACCACCTCTAACTTCACACCGAATCTCTGGCTGCCTCCTGGTGTTCTTTGGAGGCCGGAGTATGGGAATGTCCATAGACTCTGGCTCTTATCTAACCCTTCTTGATGGCTGCTATTTAAACTGGTGGTCTTCTTCTGTGGAAGGTGAATCCCAAGCTTTTGGTCTAAAACAAGTCCAAGAGGCAGTCAGTGACAACACTGGCTTCTATCCTCCCCTCTCTTATGTGTGACCCATAGTACTTTCCCTTGGCAAATTTCCTGGAAACAACAAGAAACAGAAAACTGGAAAACTAGCTAAGTGCAAGTGTCCATTTTTGTTTTGCAGACTGAGGAGCTCGGGCTTTCCTGTCCACCTTCTCCCTGACATTGCCCAGCCAGGCAGTGCAGCAGGCAGAACGTCCCACATGTGGTTTGAAATCCCAAAGGGGACACAGGTGGGCGTGGCCATGGGTGATTTACAGGCCTCTGTCTATTCTTGCATGGGCCAAAAGACAGATGCAGGTAAGTGTTCCTTTTTTCTCTCCTTAGTTTTTCACTGGTGTCTCTTAAGTGCTAGCTCTGAGTGAGGATCTGAGAGGCTCACCTAACTCAGCAGCTCACTGTTTTGTAAAGATGAGAGATACCCTCATCCCTGCAGGTGAACCTCTCTGCTCAGGGAGTGTACACGCCAGCTTGCTAGTTGTGTCCTTATACACTGACCATCTATGCATAACCACTGTTTGGCCAGGGGAAGGAAATTGCTCTCTCTGGCTGGCTGCTTCCTGTGTGCTTCGTAACCAAAAAATAGATGAGTAGGCTGGGGTATAGCTCAATGGCAAAGTGTATGTTCAGCATGCATAAGGCCCTGTGTTTGATCCTAATATCACACACACACACACACACACACACACACA